AAATGACCATGAAGGACAGCAACTTCTGTTTTGAGCAATGACTTGTCACTTGTTTAAGTGTCTGGAACACAAACAACACTCGAAAACTCAGAAATCAAACTACTGACTCCAGAAATGATGGAAAAATGAACCAAAACTGGTCAACTACCCTTCACAGCATCCATTTAAAACACCACCTGATGAGCTGGAGATCAAGTGGAAGCATGTTGAATGAGAACATGAAGAAAGTTTACTAAGGTTTTTGCTGTTTAAGGAAAAAAAAATTATTCCTTGAGATAAAGATTATTTTAAAAATAAGTTCTAAGTTCCAAAATAGTAAATAATGTAATACCCCCTGGGAATAAAACAGACATACAACATTGGCTATTCACAAGGGCCTGAGAGTAAGTCACCCTGATAGTCTTAAAAATATTAAATAAAACATAATTTATGTTTTACAATTCAGCTTCTTCAACATGAATTCAAGAGTCATCTGAAAGACACCCACCCAGTGCACTGAAGTGTCCTATCATAGACAAAATCTTTGTGCATTAAAACACTGCAAAGCCTTCCTGGCACAAATTAGTCAGGTGGACACTGGTGCCACTTCATCTTGTGCTTGGTGCCTCTTCAGACTGTTCCCAAAGTTGAATAGTCCTTCTTCCCAAAGAAACTCAAGTTGACCAAAGATGTCTGTGGGCTGGGCACCTGCCCAGCTCACACGACACCCAGGGTGACAGCTTAAGGACAACAGCTAAATGAGAATTGATCCCAAGCTCCTGAAGCTTTCCTGGCCAAAGGCACACAGCTCCATTAACAGGCTCTGCTCCATCTGCAGCAGCTGCAGAGGAGGATCCAGGCCATGGACAGAGGGGGAATGGCCTCAGAGCTGAGGAACCCCTCTCTCCTGCCTTCAGCAGAGGGAGGCAGGGTCTGCCCAGCTCCCTCTTCTCTCCAAATGCCCCACACTATAGTCACAAATCTGGATGCTAGAGATACCTCACAATTTCTGGCTGAAGAACACTGAGACCTCCCTCTGCCACATTCCATCCCAAAGTGGGCATGACAACACTTCTCCCACTTCTCTATGTCCATTAAACACTGCACATGTCTCTCATGTAGTATTCTTCAGTATATGTATACTTCATGTATACTTCAGTGTTCATAAGTTAAATAAATGATGTTTGAAGCCAAAAGCTTCTATACATTTTCCTTCAGGCAAACACTGAAATATTTCAGACATGGAATGTGCTGGTGGACTCAGATAAGCTGATGGTCCAGATTTTTTCATCCCTTAACTTCCAGCTTCCCACTCACTAATGCTCTGGCCTCTGTAACAGTCAGTTAGCAGCAGTCTTTACATAATAAAAAGAAAAACCTCTTGCATTTTCTATTTAATCTCCTCTTCCTTATTTTATCCCATCTTTCTTCACACATCACAGGAATTGAAAGAGAACTTAGCCAAGATAACAAACACTGGATTGAAGGACAGAACTCACAGTGGTCCCTCTTGTGTAATATAAAACCCTTCAGCTCCTTCCCCTGCACTGGGGCATCCACAAGAATTAGTAAATTGGTCAGAAAACACATGAAAAGTTCAGAAGAGCCATATAAGTAGTCTGTGAATAAAATCTCCTGTGACATTCCTGTAAATGGATCAGTTTGCAAAGCAGACTGTTTGTGAGATACCAACTGTGACACTGGGACAGGAACCCTGGAAAAGACCTCTTAACCACTTTAAAGCAAAGGCAGAAGATAAAGCCAGACCTTCAGAAGGACTCTGCCAAAGAGGTTATTTAATCTATTCTTTAAACTGTTTAAAGAAAACATGTAGTTGGCACTTGCACAGGTCCAGGTTAATTCAAACCATGCTTTCAGACTGGATTACTGTGAACTACAGCCACGAGCACTGTGCAATTCAGACAAACAGAACTCACATCCTTAACTCCCAGATCCCACAAGTGCACTGTGTTTCTCAGCTGTGACACACCTCAGATCCACCATTCATTCAGTCCTTGTCAGCTACAAACAGCTCTCCAACACCATTCACACCAAGTCATCTCAAATGCCCAGAGAGTAACAGGTAAGACAACTTGATTGCTTGATTCCAGATTACTCTAAGTGTTAAAATAACTCTGTGTACATAGATAATAACATAAAATAACATGAAAATAACACAGGTTCATTCCCTTGTATCTTTTCCAGCAGTCCCTCTCTAAACACTCCAGGAGTTAAGTTTTAAGAAAGAAATAACTGAACAACGAGCTCTACCTTGAAACACTAAAATTGAGATTCAAGATTAAGAGAATTTAATCAGCCCCCACTCTAAGCAGGTTTAGTCCTGATCAACACTAGCCTGACACAGCACTACATTATTTCCTATAATTCAGGTCTCACACCATATGTTAACATGCTCATTACAACTTTGTTCAACCCTTCAATTACATCCTTCTGCAGAAGGTTGTAAGAATTAACCATTACATGGTTACAAAGTCATTTCATCAGCCCTAAATTAACAACACCTGGTTTCCAATAGATTTAGGACTGGCAATTGATTATCTCTGATTGAAGTTGTTCCATATTTGGAGCACACAGGCTCTCTGCACTGAGAGGTTTCTCTCCTAGATAAGATAGAAACTCAAGAGTTTCTATCTATTTCCTTCAGTTATGGCATTGCCCACTTCTGGTCTCTTCCTGAAAGAATTTAATTACTCTTCATGTTTCCACCTCTGACACATTCAATGAAAAGAAACCATCCAGTTCAAAGTTCAAGGGGAAAGCAGATTGCAAATATTTAATTCTAACCCCACTATCTTTTAGAAGCAAAGCAATCAGAAAAATCAGTTAACTATTATCCTTTGATTATGTAATCTTAAAAACAAGAGCAAATTCAAGTTATTGCATATCCAGAGATTCTTTATACAATGAAGAAAAGGCTGAATGAGCTGTACATAGTCTGGAGTAAGTCTTTGATCTTTTTCAAATGGCTTGTCAGAATTGTCTAACCACTGCTGCATTGCTTTAAGTCAACATTTATACATAAACAAGTGAATTAGAATAGCACAAAGGCATCTGACATGTAACAGCAAAAAAGGTAGTTCTGCAAGATAAAACGTTAGTCAGAAAGTAAATTTGTCTTCAGCTCAAGAGCTAACATACTACATTTAATAAAACAAACATGAGGTATGTACACAGTGACACTTAATTCCTGATCCTAATATGACTGATAACCCATGCAAAATTTATAAAGTACTTCATAGGGGAAGTCCACTTTATAACCCAGTGAGCCATGGAAAGATGAAGCAACTTTCTCAGGGTCATGCAGCACCTTACTGCTGAAGTAGGAAAAAAACAGGGCAACCAAATGACGGTGCCAGACCCTCACAGTTAAGTCAGCTCTCCTCCTCCTCCTTATGAAAATTTAATTATACTGACTCTTCTCTGTGCACTGCTAATATAAATAAGAAGACAGCAAGCAGTCAAGTTTCTCCTGCAGGCTAAAGGAGCAAAGGGCCAACCAAAAAATGTTCAGTTTACTTTATTCCCTTTTAAAAACTGCTGCATTTACATCAGTTAGGTTTGCAATACTTCTCAACTTGCAACCCCAAAAGTGAACAGAACTAAAATCTAATTTCACACTCAATTTAAATAAAAATTATTTTCCAATTTTTCTACGCTGATGTAAACACACTTCAAAGATGCCAATTACAATGCCTTTACAGATACTCTTTATACTCCAATTTCTTTTCCATACCAAATTGTGTTTACTGGCAAATCAACTTAGTATCAAAGGAAAACAAATGCATGACACTTGCTTTCATAAAAAATAACAATTAAAACTACTTTCAAAATGTAAATAAGGTCTCCCCATAATACTAAAGTGAAGAAACTACTTCCTCTGGAAACCACAATATTTTTAGTTTTAAAAAAAGCTCAAAAATATTTTCCTTATGATACAACATGAATTTACTTAATGAAACTGTGGGTTTACAACTTAATTTTTTAAAACTTCACAGAAGAAATGCAGCAGTGTAAAGACTGTTTCTCTGCAAAATACAGATATCACAATTCCTCAGCCACAAGTCATGTATGAAAAATATTCTGCATTAAAAATAACCAGGTCTGCACTGTGCAATCAAAAGTCACAGAGGGTTTCTGAAATTTGCTTCTTTCCAGTACATCTGATCTCTGTGCCAGAGATACCTCACAGATGTTCAGACATCTATTTTCCTCCTTCAGCACTGCACACATCAACACATTTTTTGTGTGTTTTATATATTTGGGAAGTATAATATACAGGTTTTTACTTGAAAATACTTTAGGTAATATTGCAACCTAGGTCTTTTGCTTATTTTGATACCCTGCTAACCATTTCAACTAGAAATTTAGTATAACAAAATTGAAATTATGAGAAAAGTTCTAGAAGCATATACTCTTTCCATTCATAGAGTTTAAAATAATTATGAAATAATTATCAAGTGAAATTAGCCTAGTGAAGCAGCTAAGTATTTGGTTTGTTTTCAAAATTAGAAACATAAAAGAAAGCAAGGTCATGCAATGTCAGTTCTATTTTTTACATAAAAAACATGAGAGTGTTGAAATACCTTTAGTAATGATAAAAATGATTGCTGCATTTTACAATAAATACATATGACTGCTTTTTAAGCTTAGGGATTATTTCAAATAGCCTTTTATTATATCAAATAAAATAAGGATTCTATTTATACAGAAAGAGTGGAGCAATAAAATGAAGCCCATATTCCTTAAGACAAGATGCATTCATGCCTTTCCCACTGGAGAGACTGGTTCAACAATTTTACAGTTAAACAGAATTAATTCTACTCTCAAAAATCCATTGACCTTAAGCTTTTAACAAACATTTTCAACTGCAGAGTGTATTGTCAATATTTACAAATCCTTAAAATTATATTTCACTAGAACAGCTTTTATTTGCTATATTAATATTTCCTTGCAAATGTATGCTTATCCATATCAGAGAAGAAGAAACAGCTGCTACTCACAGGAAATCTCTGGGGTCCTACAGCAGGTCTTGGCTGGGCAGGAACTGGCAGCAAGGGCACTGAAACAAGAAGCACCTTTTAACACCATTTGTTTTACCTAACAGTTGTAGTTATTTCCAAAAGCATTTGCAATAAAAAGCCATGATTAAAATCTGCTACTTTTACTCTCACATGTCACAGTTCCCACAATTAACTTTGAGCAACCATTCCCTCCCCTACAACATGCAACAGGGCAATTAGGATTCTCCTAGTTAATTTGCATAATTTAGTTCTGCTTTTTTCCAGAATTAAATTGCTCCTCGTTGCAGGAAGGCAAACTAGAATAGTTATTCAGCCAAAGACATCCCTTAGACAAAGCTGACAGAGACACTAACAATAATTTCACGTTTCCAATAGAAGGATACATGATTAATTTGCCTTCTCAACTTCATGCCACTCAACATTTCCAAGGCATCTCCCAGTCTCACCACCAAACTACCAAAAGAAACATGAACATGAGAGACACTAACTGGTAAAAATCACTGCTCATGAGGGTAAAATGAGGCAGGCAGCTGCAATTAACAGCACACAAAAACTACTTAGTCTGTCTGGCCTTGCCACCACAGTGGTGTGTGTGTGCAACTGTGATCACAGAACTGCTGATCTCAGATGAAAGACAGTGATTGCACAGAGATACCAAGAAGAATCAGACCTTTTCCTGAAAAAAATAACCTCTGAAATTAGTATTTCAGGGGGATTAACATGGATGATTTGTCCTTACAACTGCACTTTGAAATGCTAGTCACAAAAAGCTATTTCCCAAAACATTCACTTAATGTTATGGCAAAATGCACAAAGTGCTACAGCTGGATCACCCTGGGAACTGAGCCTATATTCCAATCTCAAACACAAAGTGTAACAACAGTTTTCTATTTTCCAGAGTACTTTTTATTTACTCTCACAGTTGTGCAAATGGTTAAACATACAAATATTTCCCTGTTAAATGAAAGGCCTACAGAAGTTCAATAAAGCATTTCCAACCACACAATGTGGTTGCTCATTTACTAAAAGCTTTTAGTAAGATTCTTCTCCAGTTTGCTTTTAGCACTTCTGAAAGTGAGAGGGAAACATTTCCCAGGCAGGGTTGAACACTGACTTTGCAGACAGCTCCTGTGCTACACTTCAGAGCAGCAAATATACTAAGAAATGCTTCTAGCTTGAGAGAGAAGTTGGGGGCATTTCCCAACACAGAGCTGGCTAAGATGCCTCAAAAATCCCTTTTCCCTTGGTAACCAAGGCACAAGAACTAATGCATTAGTGGTTTTTTTTTCAGTTCATGTCCATGTCTGGCTTCTATCCACTTTCATTAAGTACTTGTGGTTTGCTGGTTCAGATACTGATGGGGTAAACTAATTGCAGCAGTCTTTCAGCATGGGAGGACTGTGTGCAAGCTTTGTATCACATTACACCAGAAAATGACTGCAAGAGTTTCATCCTGGCTTCTAATGAACATCTGTTGGTATCAAACAGCCTTGGCCACACAGAGAAAAATTGCTAAGATGCTCTTGACAGACCTAGTCCTAAAATAGTTCAGGTATTACAGGTCAAAGAGGCACTGAGAAAAATGGCATAAGGTGGGAAATGTAGAGAAATGTCAACTGAACTAGAGTCTATTTCAGTATCCTGCCTCCAGCAGTAGCATAGAAATTCATATATTTATATATTTTCAACAAATTAATTTAATACTCATGAAAGACAGTAGCTCAAACTCTGTGCCCTTTCAATCCTTGGACACTTGCTTAAGCAGCAAAGAAGTCTCAAGCCCTCATTTACTTGATGTCAAATATTCCATAGGTGTGAAAAGTATGTTTCAAAAATAATACACAGCATGTTGTAAGAAACTATTTTAAGAAGATTAAATTGCTTCTTGCTATAAATTCCTACACTATACTGGAAAAGATGAAGAAGCAATTCCCACCCTGATTATTCAGGAGAATTACAACGTGATTGTTCCCAAGACACCAAACAGTTTTCAAAAGGTAAATGGCATAGTGAGCTGCCATAAACTGCTCATTAGTTCATGTCAATTTTGGCAGCACCACAGGATCCCTGAAATAGTCACTGGTGGTACAAACATTTAAAGGGAAAAATGCAACACCTATTATCACAGGTTAAATCAGTACTTCACAGTGCATTTATGTACAGCTGTCCTGCACTAATAAATGGATCATACTCAAGTTTGGACACACATTCAGCAAAAATTACTACCTACAACTCAAAAATAATTTGCAGAATAGGACACAAAAAAAAGATATGAGACAAGACAATAATAGATATGGGATTCAAATGCCACAGGAGGCACAGCTGAACACCACCTGCAGTACCTGCAGCAGGTATCCACAGAGCCTCATCTTTTAGGGGCTTGAAGTCCAACTCCTTAATCATTTATGAAACTTCAAAGACAAAAAATAGTAGCAATCCATCTGAAACAAAACTGACTTGAAAGTTACTGGTTTTTTTCAAATTAGGATTCAAGGCTGGGCAGGGAGATGGTGGCCACTGTAAAGAGATTTGCCTTTGAAACATCAAAGGAATAGGCCTATGATAGGATTCTTCAACAGTGTTTCTACTCCTTTTCAGGTTGAAGTGGCTGTCTAGTAACAGCTCTTAGAGATGTTTTTTTATTCACATGAAAATTTTGTAGCAATTTACAGGAGGTTTGAGTCTATTTTAGAAAATACTGATACAGCCTAAGCATTTCAAGACTTACTCAAACCAAAAAGATGTTTAAAAAGTGTATTTCTATGATCTGCACTCAGGAAAAGTGTTCCTGATGCTGACAATTAGAAGCGTGTGAGCTTTATCCTGCCATAAAATTAGAGAGGAAAAAATGCCAGTCTACCCTAAAACATGACAGCACACCATTAAAATTACCAGAACCTAAGTGTGCATATCATGCACTTCTAGACATGGCATTTTTAGCTTCCAGGCATCACATTTTCAACAAGAGAATCCCAATAAACTTTGCACCTATCTGACTGCATTCTCTAATGTGTAAAGCCCCTCATGTACCTGGAAATATGTCCAGCCAACAAGGGGCAGGACATCATCAAGAACACCAAGTCAATCTGATCTTTCATCCTTCCCATTACCCTGAAAGAAATGAGGCTGCAAGTGGAACACATCCTTTTGTTGCCAACCACCAGTCTCTGCCTACTGGAGCTTCAAGCAGATGGATTAAAGGAAGATTTTTTAAGAGGAAGCTTGGAACGGCACTTCCTACACTGGAATTTCTATCTACCACTTGCAGTGACTGCTTTAAAATTCACCTTAATATGCAAAACCCCTTGAAGATGTTAGAATTATGCTCATTTATCTACAGAAAGCTCCTAATTTCCAACACATTTTCACATTTTCCTCATGTGTGCAAGTGTTTACTTTCATGTGACATAACTGTACTGCTACAGATTAGGACTGAGGTGGCCCCTACTCTCAGTCACTGCAGGAGACTCAGCTTCCAATAGATGCTCTCTAATCAAGAAGATGAAATTTCTACAGTGACTTAAAAGATCATATTTAATAGTATGCTGCACATCTATTAGCAGAAAAACTCAGTAGTCTTGCCAAGGACTCTTTCAGTAAAATGAATGGTACAAAGGGATTTCATATGAAGCAGCTGCCATCAATACACAGAGCAAAGAATGTCCTTGCTGAATGCAGGTTTTAACACCATTCAACAATCTCAACTCACTCTGCAGGGCTGCTCAGTCTAAGAGAACACCTGAACTTCTACAAGCCAAGAAATGAATGTGCACATAAAGTCAGCAGATGTAAGTTGTTAAAAAACCCAAGAATACCCTCCCCTTTACAAATCCAATACTGAAGATCTCCTAACCTGCAGGAGGTATACAACTTTCTGGAAATGAAGATGTGCATGGAGACTAAAAAACAGACTGTGAACAAGATCAGGCAAGAGACCTGCAAGCTACAGTGCCACAGACATAGTGGCAAAGCTGAGAAGAGCCTGAAGCTGCCCAGCAATGCGAAAAAAAAGACTCCTCAGACAAAGGGAAGAAAACACACTAAGATACTTCTGACATTAGGCAAAAGCACAAACCCTCAGTAGCCATTCCCAGGATTATGATCACATTATTGCTTAGCTAGATAGAAAAGATCTGGTACTGTTTCACAGGGACAGAGAAAAGACATAGAATAGTCTAAAAGCAATTTTTGCTTCTCATAAAACAGTAACTTACTTTGGTAGTGCTAGAAAAATGCACAGAAGGTACAAATCCACAAGTAAAGATTCTTTTGGAGTGTTTCCAGATAATCTGTCCTGATGCATAATTTTGTGGGAAGCACCACAGGGAAAAGCAAAATAAACTCTGACAAAGCCATGTGAGCAGCAAAACACACGTCCATACTCTGGCAATATTCTACCCTGCCAAATTCCTGCTTTTCATTGGTCAAATCAATGAAGCAAAGATAGCACTGGCTTGGAGTTCTGCTGATGTGAAGGGGGGAAAATACAGAAAATCTAATGGCAAATATGTAAAAATACTTATCTATTTTTTTAGTCTGTCTTGTCCCAACATAATCAGAAATCAGAGCTATGCAGGTATCTTTTTTAACCCTCTTTGCGATTAAACATTTCCTAAATAAGCAGCAGTATGAACAGCTTTGCTGAGAGCTACCCAAAGAAACGTAGTTCAAATGTTTGTGTTAACTTAGAGAAAACAGTATTTGCAAATCAAAACAATTACAGATGTGCTTTTGGGAAAGGAGAATTGAGGGCATGTATCTTGTTAAGAAAGGACAGCAACTGGTATCTTTCACAGAGTAATTACCTCAGTACCCTCTCACCGAAACTGGTAGACAGTCCTGGGAAATTTACAAATTGCAGTTCTTTCCTAGTTTTGAAAAATTACATTTATTGTTTTTTGAAAAGCACATTCTCTTTTCAGCTTCCATTTTTAATGCTCTTCTCAGGCTTTACATTAGAATAGCAAACATGGTAAAAGCTGAAAAGGCTTTGCTTGTTCAGCTGGCCACAGTCCAACAACATTATGTCTTACTTCAGGCAAAACATTTGTTTCAAGCTTCAAGAAAAAAAAAACTAGCAGCCTGAAGCACATTTCCATGAAGTGATAAACAAACAAATTGTTCCATCTCTGGCAAAGAATGAGATGAGTCACGCTTGCATGACTGGCAAGGTGCTGAGCTCGCTCTCACCTTGTACGGGCGTCACCACGGTCCCCTTGAAATGCGGATTGATGTGGATGTTCTTGGGCTGCTGGGGGGTCACTGGAGGGGGAGTCATCATTATTCGAGGTGTTTCTATCTGAGGGGGCATATGTAGCCCTGGAGGAGGAGAAGAATGATGCTGATGCTGTAAAGGAAGCAGAGATTGTAACTGTTGCTGCTGCTGCTGTTGTTGCTGCTGTTGCTGTTGTTGTTGTTGCTGCTGCTGCTGTTGCTGCTGGAACAGACTCATAACAGGTTGCTGGTGTGTTGGAATTAACCTCTGTGAGTGAGTCTAAAGTCAGACAAAAGAACAGAGTCATTACGCTTTAAAGTATCCTGACATAAATGAGCACAAAACCAAGACATCTCTGGAGAACAATTAAGGCCAATTATGAACAGAAAAAATTCTTTTCCCTATAATCAACTGGATCCACCAAAAACCATCAGCACAGGAAAGCAAAGGAGCAATCAAAAACATTCATGTGAAGAAGAAAGCAACAAAGAGCAAAGAAGCACAGGGAATGCAGACACATTCACTCATTTTTAACAGTGAAACTGTCTGGTTTCATAGGTAGTCAGGGCTCTGCACAGGTCAGTGTTATTAACTGCAATAAGGTTTATGTAGAGATCACTAGAAATCTGAGTCCTAGTACCAAAACAAATCCACTACATCTTCTCTCATGTATACAAGAGCCTCTCTCAGATAACAGACCTAGCACTAGCAACAGAAGTCAAAATACAAATTCAGGCATCAGTGCAGCACAAATTCAAATATTCTTTAATATCAGTGCAGCACACCTAACCATACTGCTTGAAGAAAAAACTCATTTGAAGATATATTTCAAAGGTCTCCTTCCAAACATAGAAGAAAGTCTCTTGCTGCTCAACTCCTAGAAACAAATGGCCAAAATCAGTGCTAATAAAAAATAATAGTGTCTCTTCTCAGAGACATCCATCTGCCTCTCAAGTCACTGTTACCAGATCTCAGTCCTACATCAGCAACTTCAGAGTGGCAGTGCAAGAAGAGGCCCAAGGAGGCAACCTTTTAGCAACAAAGGTGGGACAGACTTTCTTGTTTCTTTCAGTGTACATAAAGCAAAGCAGCTACACAGAAAGCACAAAAAGACACTGTGATGAACACAAAAATATTTACATTTAAAATCAAAATAGCTTGCAATGACTGCAGCAAAACGGAAAAAAATATTCAACCTTCACTGCTTAAAAAGCACAAAATTTACTACTGCAGGGCTCTCAAGCACTGAATATCCACTGACTCCTGCCAGTGGCCAGCACCTACTTACTGCTGTTGGAAAAAATCACCTTTGTTTAACACAGATCACCTTGTCCTGCAAAGATATATAAAGACTTTGTTCTACAATCTCAGCTTCCAGTATATTTTATGACAGTGAACAAAAATAAGTGATGACCTCTTCATCACTTGCTGGAGATGGTTTTGGTTTTCGTAAGGTTTTTTTGATGGGAAAAGTAAAGCCTTAATATTGTGATACAAAGCACAGCAGAGAAACAGAAAGTAGTAACAAAGCTAAATTTCATTTGAAACCCCAAAATAATAATGTATCTAGCAGTGAAGTGCTGATTACTGTCCTAGGGTTTTATTCACCTCCATAAGGTAGCACAGCTTATATGTAAATAGATTTTTCAAAGAAGTATCAGCAAAAATATTACCTTGACAGAACCCAAGAAGCATTTTACTAAATCATATTTTTTAAATTACATTATTATAAATAATGGAGGATTGAACATGTTTCCACGTTGCATGTAGACTTTTCAGAGGAATTCAGTTTTTCCTCCATCCTCATGCAAACCAGCAGTTAAGTCTGACTATGACTCATCAGTCAAAATGCACTTTTCATTTGGAGGTCTTTAGATTGCTCTAGGTGAAGCCAGTAACAGGACTGAGCACATACTTTGCAATCATCACATCACACAAAGCCCACACTGCCTAAGAGTGCCCAGAAAGAGCAGAAGGTGTACACTGGAATATATATCCCATCTTTGCAAAGATTCCTGATTTAAAATACATTTCTCCACAACTTCCTGCAAGGATGCTCAAAGAATACTAAGGATTGAAAGGTACCATTGATGGCTGGTTTGGCAGCAGTGCAGGCCTGTGATCCTTCATTCTTCCCCTGTCATTACTGTCTCTCCTTTGGTCTCCCATTCCATGGCACATGACTGAGCCTCCTCTTCTCCCTCCTCTCCTGGAGCCGTACCGCCCCTGCTTGAGCTGCCTCTCCCTCTCTTCAAACTCACGTAGGGCTGCCTGGGCTTCTGCAGAAAGCTCTGTCGAGAGAGAAATAGGGAAAATTATTTTAGCTTTGAGCTGAAAAGGTGGAAAACACAATGACAAATAAAACACTGCTAGAACTACAGAAGAATCCCTGCAACTAACATAAAATTTGTAGGCACTTGAATCTCCTTTAGGTGGCATGTTAACATTTTGTTAAAACATCTTTAAAAGGAAAAAGCACAGATACTTCTGTCTTCTGCACAGGCAAAAAGCAGCAGATAAATGAAACAAACATGAACAAAAAGGTTTGGTTGTTTTCTTTTTCAAGATGGTATTGAAGTCTGCATTCTGCTCTAAGAGGAGGCTGTGGCTCCCCTTCAAAGTATTGTTATCTTTAACATCTCACTTATCTGCAGATGTCAAGCAAGACAATGAATCTGCAGTAAACTTTACAGTAAAGGATCTGCTGAGTCTTCCATATAAACAGACTTTATGCACCAGACTCTTCTGCACATTGTCTTACTCCAAAGAAGGACATTCTGCTTGCTGAAGTGCTTCAAGTACATAACTACTTAATTTTTGTTTTACTGTATGTGGTTTAAGAACCAACTGTACTTCACAAGTAGTAATTCCACTGAAGAGAGAGCACACATTAAAATCTGTGCTCAGCCCAAGTCAAACACATGGCTGCTGGTAACACCCACCCAACTCACATCATAGGTAAACACCAGAAAACACATGGTACTTAGCAAAGATGACAAATTTGCTTGAAGCCTTGGATAGTGCTGACAACATTAAAATGATGCAGTAATAGACCCAAGTAATGAAATCACTTGAAAATACCGAAAAGGTCTACAACAGACTTCAGAAAACATACCATGAAAGTATAAGCAGAACCACTCACCAGGTTTCAGTCACTGACAAGGGGTAATAAACTTTAACTCAAACATGCAGCTGAATCTTTTGCCATGTGCTAGTCAGATCCTTTGTTAACCCTAATATGGATTTCTGCCTCTAACACAGCAAAATTAAACTACTATAAACAAACACACTCATGACAAATAAAAGCATATTCTGAATTAATATGGTATTTACTTGTCAATACTACACACAGCGGCCATAATATCAGAATTACAGTAATTAGTATCTGGAGAGATTACTACTATAAGGAGACATTACTACTCTGTCTCCACACCACGAGATATCCTCTCCCAAGAATACATAACTAAATCAATTAGAAAACTCTAACAATTTCTTGTGAGTCTAAAGGCCAAAGCTACTTAAACCACCACCACCTTTAACATCTTCATAAGTAATCTCTGTTAGTCTTTGAAGTTGAGGATTGACAGAAGGGCAGAGAAGGGTGAGCACTGAGCATTCCCTCTGCGGCACTTGTTCTTACTTTGCTACAAAAACTACCTGCATGACTGAGCTGCAAAGATTGCAAATTTGCATGTCCCAGTTTTCAGAAGTATTCAGCACCTCCACAAAGCAGGAGCTTTTCAATTTTTAAAAGTTCTGAACTTGCTGATGGCCGGTAAGAACACAGCAAACATGACAGACTTCTAAAAGTCCAGGATCTGCCTGGGTTTCCTATTTCATTTTTGCACATTGGTGATGAGAAATTTCTCTACCTCCTTTTCTCTCCACTCTGACACCACAACTGAATGGCATCAAGCCTTAACAGATACTCTTATGAAATGCTACCTTTGCCCTCAAGGCACAGCAGAGCCCAAGACAATCAGGCTTTATCAGGAAAATTTTACACAATGCTTAGAATGAGGGAAGAAATCACAGTCCTTCAAGTCTTAGTATGAAATGTGCATTTCTGGCAAAAATTAAGAGAAATGTACTCTTGCCCAAAGCAATTAAAAACATTAGATGCAAGTAAAACAACTGCCATAGCCATTTCTGGCTGCCAGGGATCAAAAATGCTGGTTAGATGGGAAAAACTATCTAGCTCTTATTTCAAGTCTTCTTCCTCTCCACACCTGAATCAAGCTGTGTTTCTTCAGAAACCCGCAAACACTGAAGGGCAAATGTGGGCTTTGACCTGAGCTGCCTGAAAGACAGACCCCTACTCTCCATACATTCAAGAGGGAAAATAGTGCCACAATGCTGCAAAAGAGTCTCTCTATCCCTTATCCAGAAATGATCCAAGTCCTGCAGGGCATCCTGAGCGTTCTGCTGCTTGGACACGTGTTTTGTTTTCCCAGGAATAGGACAGGGAGGGCAATTTCTCTGACATCTTCCACACTACAACCCTGAACTCAGCACTGGAGTCTGGAAAATAAAGTTCAGTCATTGCAACAAGTACCTACCAATGATGGTCAAGCAAGATAAGAAGCAAGTTCCTATTCAATAGCTTAGAAATCACATGTGAGGAAGGCAATTTTTAATGAACCTGGGAACAGAGCTAAGCTTCCTAAAAATCAAGACTATATGGCCAAGTCTCTCAGCCTCTTGAGCACACACTGAAGGACACTGAATAGAAACAAGGATGGGCTGCTCCTAACAAAATTACTTCAGAGCACTGTGCTGATTAAGCTTGGGGAGGGAATGTCAGCATCCATGCAAAGTCAAGTCTGTCAATCTTGCGTGCGCAGAATCATTCCTTTTAAAATACACAAAATGTTTTCCTCCTCACTTTACACAAAATTTCTCAATTTTTTAAGGCCATGTCCTTAAAGGCACAGTCCACACTTTCAGTTTTTCAGCCAGAGTAGGGACCAACTTTGGAAAAAAATCCCAAACAAAACCACACAAAAATTCACATACATACTACACCTATGACCACAGAAGTACAATATAAAAACTGGATTTTAAAAATAAGACGATTACATCAACATCAAGTATATTTCCTCCAGAACATGCCACTGCTTAGACACAAGTGCAGGTTCAGAATCCTCTTCCAGAAGTTGAGACTGATGCCATGAGCACCTCAAGTGCTGCATGTAGCTACATATCAACCATCACACATCAAAACATCATCAGCTCTGTTATGAGGGGGCTGCATATTGAATTTGAGAGCAGTGCGTCCCACACACAGATCAAGCAGAGGAGAAGGCATGGGAGAAGGTTTTCCAAGGAGGGAAGCAACAGAAACAGTCCCTGCTTCCCTGAAAGCAGCCTCAGACTGCTCAAGAAAAGAGGGGATGAGCAGAGGAAGAAGAGATTCTCCTTCCCTCCCTGGGCTCTTCCAAGCACAGCCAGGTGTTCATTCATATGAATACAGCTCCTCCCTGGTTAAAAACTCATGCACAACCACAAGTATATATTCATTTACATATATATGCAGTATGCTGGCATTTCCCCTCATCATCCAGATCTGCAAACTGATTACACTCTGTGCTTCTGGACACAGAGCAACTGGACAAATTTAGAACACTTCAACTTCCCAGCCCTGCCTGAAATCTCAGACCTGAGGCATCACAGTGCACATAAGCCAACTAAGCAGGGCATAACAAGAAGTACTGCCACATCCAAACTGACCTTTGTTAGCACTTTGCAATTGGTTCTGCAGAAGTCTAAGGGTTTGAGTTGTGTATTTTTGATTAGATAGAAAGGGAATACTTTAATTTGGTAATACCAAAGACATTTTTACTCTTCACATTCTTTAAGATCTGACTACATCCAGAGAATAATGACAATTCCCACTCTGAGAAGGCTTCACCTACAGGCACTGAAAGATGATAATGTACTTCTTATCAAAGGTGACAAACTTGGTATTGCTAGAAATCAATTGCACAGCTGTCCTACAAATACTCCTCTTCTGAACTTTGCAAATCCATTCTTTACATTATCTTGGATGAAGAATTGTTTAGGAAAGATCTTAGCTACATTACTGAGACCACTGTATTTTTACATCTTTTTTACCAGCACATACTTGGTCTCATCTTGACTGTACAGTTCTCACACACAGTTAATGCAGTGAATCAGCAATTATTTTTCCAGTGTCTCTAAGTGTCAAGATTAATTTCACTATTGCTGGTAATAAAATGGTTTCAAATGACATCTTTAATCAGTAAGTAAGAATGCACTCCTCCAATAGAGACAAGCTGTCACAAAAGGTCACCAGAATGTGACAGGATGGAAATTACGTTTGTAACTTCAACTGAAATGTTAATTCCTCTTTAAGTGTTTTCTGAACTATGTTCATATTTTAGAGTAAGGAGATGTAGGTCTGCAATGAAATTTCATTTTTAAACCATTGCAGCTGTAAAAATTTGCTCTATAATCTTAAAAGGAAGCAGATATTTATATCTGCAAACAGAATTTTTTGTGGTTTAACCTTCTACCACATGGTCAGTTATCTGGTCGCTATCAACAAATCATTAAGAAAAACTAGTATGAACAGAAACCATTTCACAACAGCAATATTGTGGTTTTGCCAAACATTAGTTTAAAAACCTCTTTATAGAATCATCCACATGTGCATTCATCTTTTCCTTCTATCTCAGAGCTACAGCCCAGATTATTTAGAGTTACATTTAAAAGTCTAATTCAAATCACTGTTCCCTTAACAGTCATGCTCCACTATAAGGTTTTCTCCTTTTTGACTGGTCTTGTTTTTATATTAAAACTAAATCCACAGACAAATGAAAACAAATGCAATTGTCCTTTATCTTGTAATTATGTGTAGTAATTTAGTTATTCCAGTGCATTCCTGTTTTTAAAATATTCTGTTTTGTCAAGCCACCAACACCTTTTGTATAAACAAGATACAGTCTCTGTGTGGTTTGTAGAAATGTGGTCTCATGGTTGCAAATATAATTGGAATGCACCTCAGCTAAAACACCCTTTTTGCCTTTTACTATCATTCATTAGAGCTCTGCAAAACAATCCATTGCCACAAAGCCTCACCCAAAGTTTCCGGAATGTTCCTCCTTTCTCTTGTCACATCTGAGAGCCTGATGATGGTTCCTTCTTTCCGTTCGGTTTTGAAACGTAATCGTCCGGACTCTTCATCATCATCCTCCTCCTCATCAGACTCTTCTTTTGTTTCTTCTTGAAGTTCCAGAGACCCAATAGCTGCCTAAATCACAAAAACCAGAGGACATGTAGCCTCAAAAAACCAAGTCTCTTATAAACAGTATCAAAAGCAAGCTTTCTTTAAAAGCCCCTTTCTACAAATTTTGCTGGCATTATGCATTGTGCTCATTATAATTCAGTGAACATTTAAGAGCTGGTGATTATTTTTTTTAATAAAAATATATGTACTACATAATAAATAATAAAGTAAAATGTATTTAGAAAATAAATTTGCTGTAATATTTAGGGGATTATTGAAACTCCAGTTAGAACCTCCATCTGATTAGTAGGTACTTCTGCACACAGATTTTTATCACTGAATTGACTATGATGCAAACTTTGGTTACTACCAGATTCAAATAACAGAACAGTAAAATCCATTTTTTTTCATCTTTTAACAACTGTCAGTACCATGCTGTTAAAAAAACCTAACCAAACAAGATAACCTTGTATCTCAATCCCATTCCTCTAGGTATGTATGCCTTTACTTTGCTCCTCAAATACCTCCCAGTTTCAATTCAGTAATGGAGGGGAGAATAAGAATAAGATTGGATAAAACTGGAAATACAAAATTTATATTCTGGATGCTATTGGAATGCTTCTAAAATTTACTTTCCAGTTCTCTCTAGAACATTTATTTAAATAAAACAATGTTCCAAATGAAAATGGATCCCTCTCCTTCAAGTGAATAGAAACTTAGAAAAAGATTCCATTTTCACATGTAGGCCTGATGAAAATGTCCAGAGTGTTACACAAGTTATACTGGATTTCTACAGCATTAGAAGTGTTCTAATATCATGTAATTCTCCATAAAAATTTTTGATTACTGTGTATTTGATTATTTCTTGTACAAGCCTACTTGTTCATTTCTTAGAGCCTGGTAAATTAAAATGCACATGCATTTTAATTCTATGCAAAGCCACTAAATACATCATAAATTTAATGCTGCTTGAGGACAGTTAAAAAATGAGCCAAATCTAACATGCAAAAATGGTTTAATCTTCTAATTAACCAGATCAGTGCAGAAATTTAGATGAGAAAGGCACAGCAAGTGTGAGAGTCAGGTGGACAGATATTAAATCACAAATCAAGAAAGAATTAATAGTGTAATTGTGCAAGAGATTGTAAATTTCCCTATTCAGCAGCCTAACTTCATCCATAACCAAAATAAAAATGTGTGAAGCAAGATCAGAGACAGGGTGACCTGGCAAAACAGTTTCTGCTTTAAAAGACAGCAAACCTGATGAACTCAAGCTCAAAGCTACTCCAGCTTTGGTCTGGTGAATAAATGATCTGTATACTTGGTTACAGGGCTTTAATGGACTACTGAGCCCAAGTTGTATTTTATCCATTCCAGACATCTTTTAAGCCCTCATATATTTATTTTGGTGTAACAACTTTATCATATTAAAAAAAAAACAGGTAAAAACAACAGGGAAAGCAGGAGGAAAAAAACACCTTCAACAAGACTGAAAGAAATCCAAACCTCAAAAGCAAACCCAACTGAGCGAAACTGGTGTAATTAACATATCCACATATAATCAAAACACCTTTGAGAGCAAGCATTTGATACTTGTGGAACAGAGGAGGGATGTTAGCAAGGAAAGAGATGCTAACATGGTTTAATGAAAACAAACAACACCAAGAGAAAGACAGGGTTGGCATTTTACTTGAAAAAGAGGGACTCCCAAAAGAGCAAGGAGAAGCAATATCTCTATTAAATCTGTGTTTTCATAAATATCACAAACTCCATAATTTTACTGTCTGACTTCTTCCTTTTAGAAACTTTTCCTTGAGGATCAGGATTTGGAAGTCAGAACTGGAGCAGCTGTTTTGCAAGACATACTTACTCTACACTGAGCCTCCCGCTTTACTCTAAAGCACAAACCCCAGACACATCCAGGGCTCTTAAAAGCTACACTGGAATTGTGGTTTTTATTAATCAAAGACTGGTGTCAGTCATGTAATATCATCTGTGAGTGCTAAACTTTATCGTGCAAGGCTGTATGTGTGGCTCAAACTTCAGAATCAGGACTAGAATGGGTAATGAAGTCTACATTGTCCTGAAAATTTCTGCTATGTTTTAATGAAATGCTATTAAAAACCCTGAAACTCTCTGTTGCATTTTGACAATTATTCATTCTGGAAAAAAAATCTATTCTAAAAAGAAAATATAAGAAAACATCCTAATTTCTGACAGACCATCAGACTTACCTACAGAACAATAAAAAAAATTCCAAACTTTTCTAGACTAGCATTATTCTACTCTTACCCACTTATACCAATTCTGAAGTCTTGGTCTGACTCACTTTATTCATCAGCATAATGCTCATGCCACCCATTAACCAGCAACAGCCATACAAGCATTAAATATCAAAGACAAAAAAAATTTCAAAGGAGCCAATGAAAAAGCAGGCACCAAGGCAAGGCAGTGCTGGAGAATGGTCACTGACCCATGTCCAAATCTGATTACCCCTTTTATTGAGGGATTTATGCAATGGAGACACAAACATGTCTGACAGCCACCCATAAGTTCCCTCCACACAGCTCCAGGAAAGGTTGGCTGAGCAGGGTAGGAGCACACACCCTTCCCCTGAAGTTTGTTCTGCAGTTGGAAAATGCAAGATTCCTACAGGATCTTTTCCACCTTCCAGCCAAACAGAAGCTGTTTTGCCAAGATACAGCATGAATGGATTCTATGTTTCAAAAAGACAACTGCAGACACAGAATTAAGCCATATTGTTACTTACAGGATTGGCTTTAATACCTGCTAATCATGAATATCTCTGCATAGACATTAACAGTCTTTGAATGGCCACTTGAGGTCACTGCACTGGACTCACCAGCCCAGGCTTCCCAAAGGGACCTTTACATCTCCCACTATGACACCTTGCACAAAGCTACCACAGAGCTTTGCTGACCCTTACACAGAAACAGAATGACCTTTCTGGTGCCACGAGGTCAGGGGCTCCTGCCATCCTCATTCAATAACTGTGCCCTAAATCCCAGCCACTGAGCAGGACTCCTCACACTGGGTTATGATCTGCTGTGGAGAAGGGCTGAGTGCTCCTGCCCTGAGCAGCTTACAGGAATGGTGTCAGACACAGCCCAAGGGAAGCTGCACAAACACTGACACAGCATGATCCTCCCAAAGATGAGATCCTCCCAAACATGGGATCCCACCCAGACACAGGATCCACCCCCCCAGACATGGGATCCCCCCAAAGCGTTCACGAGAACTTGGTGCCAGACATTCAGAAGCTGTGCAAAAACAACTAAATTAAAGGTGAAACACAGAACTTCTACTAACAAGCCATAAAATAGGAAGTGGAGGCATCTGCTACAGGTTAACACTGAAGAAGATGCAGTTGCTCAATCCCAGGGGATCAAGAAATAACAGGGGAGATAAGAAGAGATTATAACTATTCCAAGGGCACTTCGATTCCACAGAAGAAAAATGGAATCAAAAACCAAATCTAAGTGCCTTATATGCTTAAAAATTGGCTGTTTTGATTTGCACTCTTTTCACCACTTTCCTCCATGCTGGCAGGTCGTGTTTTCAAACTTGAACAACAGAACTGAAGTGCAGAAGTTTTGGCTAAGCACAGATGCAACATATCAGACAATGTTATTATGTCTACAAAAGAAAGACATATTGGTCTTTTTATTCCCAAGCCTTTATTCTATCAAAAGAAAAACAATATGCAGCATTTCTTCATGAAATGCTTTCTTGACTAAAGTACTCTTCACTTCTTATCAGCATAACCCAAAACACAGTTTAAATTATGCAATGATAAATCCTCTACCATTGACTTCAGAGATTACTTTCACTGTAAAACAAAGACATTATGAATTCTAATTTAATGAGATTTAATTTTATGAACACTTCACAGAAGTAATTAGTGATATTTTCCCTCTAAAATATTTAGGACATGATACATCATGTGCCTGTTCTGTCACACCTATTTGCTGCTGAAACTTCTGGGTGTTGGGTTTTGTTTTATACCTCAGGAAGGCAAAAATATTTTCTGAAGCACTGCTACATTTTTCAAGGAAGTCACAGAGACTTGTTGTTTATTTAAAATTCAAGTTCTGCAATTTTAAGCAGTTTCAAAAACAAACTCTACATGCCTATTCCTCACTTCTCCCACCTGACTGCCACCTGTAACAATTGTCTCCCCTCCCTTATTCACTTGTTTCCCCCATCATGTTCTAATTCCCCAGCCAGCCAGCTTTTCTCTTGGTTTACAAAAAGATTTCTTATTTCTTCATGCAATATAGTAAGAGGCTTCAGCTGGTTTTAATGTGATAACTGCTCAAAATAAAACACCCAACATCCTTCTCTGTTACTCAGATGCCAAATTTCAACCAAGAGATAATAATGTTCTTTCTTTGTACCACATCCAATACAGCTCCACTCTTCTGTTGCAGGAGAATGCCAACCCTTATTCCTGTTTACAAGCACGGAATGTTATGAGATTTAAGGAAAAGTGCTGTTATTTAACACTTGAATAAAGAACAGAACTCTTCAGAGCTGGAGGCAGGCATCTAACCATGCAATGAACAGAAGTGAATACTCTACAAAGGTTCTCTCCCATTTTTTAGGGAGTGCAACTGTGAGCCTACTGCCAAATGGAAGGAAGATCCATACAAAATAATAAAGGAAAAAAAGATGGTACTGTTTTGGAAAAAATAAACTATTACAGCAACCTGATGGAGGTCTTCATGTGTGAGAGAAGTGGACGAGAATCTTGTTTGATGATTTATTGATTTATTGATATATGGTATATGATACATTATATATTTATTGATATATGATATATGATACATTATAACTATACTAAAAAAAATAAGGAGAGAAATTGCAAAGGCTGCTAAGCTAAGAATAGCATAGAAAGAATGAATAACAAAGTTCTGTGTCCAGCAGAAAGCAAGGATAAACTCTTTCTGTGAGTGGTCAGCAAATCCAAACACTCACAGAAGCCCAATCACCACTGCACCTGTTACATTCCACAGCAGCTGATAACAATTGTTTACATTCTTCTTCTGGGGCCTCAGCTTCCCAGAAGATGAACAAATCCCAAAGAAACCATTTCTATGAAAAAATGTCTGCGACAATAAACCTGTGACAATCTACAAACCATGAGAATAAAGTCAAAATGTAGAGTAACTGAAGGTATGGCCAAAATATTCACTGTATATGATGAAAAAATTCCATAAAAGTTTTTTTTGCAAAACAAATTAAAAACTTGTATCAATGGTAATTCTGAATAAAACAAATTTAATTCTGAATTAGACAAATTTAGACAATGTGATTAGAGAATTCTCACTCTGGAGTTCATGCTCCCAAAATGAAGCTGTGTTTTTTTTTACAGCAATAAGTTTGGCACTGAATCCCAGCTATGCATTTAATTTTACATGATGTGCACTGTGTCCATCATCTCAGACTGTGGCTGCAGACACCACAAATGCATCAATTCACCTCCAAAATACCAAAACAAAAGTGTGTATCAATCCAGTGAAGGAATAAAAAGTGTTCAAGGATTTTACAGCTCTTCTGAAGGGCAGATTTAGCATTTGGGAAGTAGGAAATTAATGACATGGATGTGTATTTAATACAAGATGTTAGGCTTGCAGCAGTGGAAGCTGAAGGATGCAGGTGGTCCCTTTCAATGCAGACCTCCACCTACCAAAAAATGCTGTTTTACCAAGATAGGTTTGATACAACTGGAGCATCACAGCACACCCAGTTGTGAGAACTTCATACAGTAAGGCTGCTGTGTCTTTGAGGAATTAATTTCCTGATGAGTTAAAGCTCCAAAGAGGAAATACACGCTGACTACACTTCTCAGCAGGTAATCCATTCAATCCTATTTAATTAAGAACTGGAATAAAAGTAATATTAAAGCAGATTCCTGGTGGGGAAAGGAAAAAATCTTCCATTAAAAATTTGCTGCAAATTAAAAATGGTTGTGATACTCTTGCCTAATAACAAAAGGGAAAACCTTGCAACACAGTTGAAGTGCAAAAATAAAAAGGCAACTTCTATGAAAGCTTGCAGGTGCACAAAATATCACATTGCACATGCATGACACAGGATTTCTATAATTTGTTTAAGGTTAATTAATCAGTTTATCTAGCCAGCACATCCAATAGGAAATCACTTCTGTCAGTAACCCAGCCCTGGGTCAGTTGGTCCAGGGGCTTCCTTCCCTTTTTTCTTGTTATGTCTCTTAGGTTCTGGTAGAACATAAGATGTCCTTGTCAGGAATTATCTTCTTAAGAATAAAACTAAACAGAATTTCAAGAATGTAGAGTAAAGGCTTGTTAAACTGTGAGAGAGGGCAGGAAAAATACTAAAATCTACACAAGTATGTATTAAAAATATACAAGGTTGTTGATATACATAAAATATATAAAAAGCTAAAAAACCTTTAGGCATCACTACCAGGCTATAATTAGTGAATGGATACTTGGCAGACTTTAGCATAAGCTTACTTATTGCAAATGAAGGAACTCTCATTTTCCTCACTGAAGAAGATAAATCTCACAGGAATTTCAGTCTCAACACAACTTTCAAAACAGCAATCTCTTTGCCCGTCTAAAACACCAAACCTTCCATGTTTACACTCCCCTCCTTCAAAGGGGGATACCCAAGAACTGTGTGTACATCCCAACAGCACCAATGATCCACCTGGAAAGGGAAGCACCACAGCTCTGGGAGACTGAACAGACTGTGCAGTATTACTGTCACTTCCTACCCAAATGGGCCCCTCAAGTTTCTAATGTTGAAGCCAAAACTAAATATGCACATTTTGGGCTTTCCCTTATGATTCTAATTCCAAGGGAAGGAGGGGATCTGATGTATCTGACAATATAGATGCTATCACAATTCATTTTATACATAGAGTACTACCACCAATAATTCAACACTGGCAAAGTTGCATCAATCCTTACCCAGCACAATTCTATGTATAATTCTATGTATAATTCTACAAAATCAAACTGTAACAGAACTAGTTATTTAAAGTTTCCATTAAATTCATTACATACCTCTTCTGATTCATTAGCCATTGTCTGGGTTTCTTCCAACTCCTCATCAGCTGCATACTCTCCTTGTTCTTCCATTGCTTGCTCATTATAGGATTGCATGTAATCTTCATCCTAAAGCAGTAAACAGGAGGGTGAAAAGTCACAAGGCCAATGAATAGGTGGGGTCTGACTGCATTGCTGCAGCTTCCAGAGTGGAAGAGAAGTATTGCATCTCTGGGAACAGTCAACTATAAGTGATATGGCACACATACAGCATAATTAGCAGGGGTTTAACTAGACAGTGATTTCAAAATTATCAAAACCAAACCAGTTCCATTCATGCTCCAGCAATGTCATCATAAAGATCCCATTTAATACTGTTTGTCCCAACTACTTCTATACATCTGCATCCACTGATTACAAATGCATGAAGCAAACACTGCAGGACTTTCTGGCCACAGCACATATACATTAACATCAGATTTCACCCCATCAAATATAAACATTCTTAAAGCATTCTGCAAGGGCTTACATGAGTGGGTTCAACTCTGAAAAATTATGAACATAAAACAAAAGCAAAATCTTGCTTAAGTTTGCTTGTATTTTTCAAACACCTCACTGATCACATACAGTTTTGATTAAGATTAAATAATTTCATTAACAATTAAAGTCAGTGCATGTTCTCTAATAAGCTGCTTAAATTATATTGAATTATGCAGGTGACATTTTCTGAACTAACCTCCAATCTCTTTATTCAGGTTTAGACAGCTCTCAGTTACAAAAAGGATGAACAAGCAGGACATCAATCACTTTGGGATATTAGCACCTTAAAGATGTCTTTAGCAGGTCAATAATCTTTTCACCTTGGAAGGACTTTATCAGATCTTGTCTAAAGCCTGGATAAAAGCTTTTGCATTAAGTACTTCTAACAATTGGCAGTGTATCTCCACCACACAAAGCAGTTTTCTTCCTTAAGGATACAACCCTCAAGGTCATGATTCTCAACTGCTTTCCAGCATGACAAAGGAGCATTACCTACCGCCAAACAAGCTGTCAACACAAACTTTGTCACAGCCTAGATAAAGAAACTGGCAGACAGTGATAATAGGTCTAATTTCCCCTCCTCCCCAGGGAGGTAAACAGATTTTAAATCAGTCTAAAACCCTATGCACGTGAAGCAATGTTATCTCTGAAGATACAATAGAAGGAAACTCACTGGAAATTCATCTAGGGGTTCATTGATTTCAAGGTCTAGCACTTCATCTTCTTCTCCAGGCTCTTCCCCATATTCTATTTGGTCTTCTGTCAGCTCAGGATCATTGCCTTCATAATGTCCTTCCTCTGCATACTCTGAGGCATATTCTTCAGGTGCTTCAGATTTGTCATAACCAATTTCATCTTCCCCTTGGTCATACTCAGCCTCGTGTTCCAGGGAGGGGTCGTTGATGGACTCGTAGGATGTCAGGATGCCAGGTGTGGCATTGAGGCTCACTGTGACACCTGGAGAGCTGTGGGACAGGGGCACAATTCAGAGGCTCAAGTCTAACTGGCAACTACTCACAAAGATTCAGCAGAACAAAGGCAACAAATGTCAAATCTCCAAGTTGGTGGATAGAATTATACCCCATATACTGTTTGACTCCATGCCATGTTCTCATAATGCATACTAAAATGCAGCTTATCACCAGCTGCAGGCTATTTGACCAGGGGAATCAAACCAACCAGATGGTTTAGCAGGTCAAACTGGCAAAAGTCCTGCTTGGTAGCCAAAGCAGACCAGATTCAATTTTAATTCCAAGAATAACAAAAAAAAATACACAAAATTACTACAACTGCATCTGTTTTCCCAATCTTTCAGAATATACCAGTAAAACATTTTTTACTAAATGTATTAAACATTGTTCATTCTTGATTATTGAATTCAAATTTGCATTTTTATGATAGATTTAATGTTCTACATAATATAAAACAAATAGTCAAAACTGTAATGTAAATGATTTAGACATTCTTAACTAGCACAGACACAGGAAAAAAAAAAAAACCCAATCAATAGAAAAACTGGCAAGTTTATAATCTTCAGGCAGGCAAAGCAAAGTTCAGGGTTCACTGTTTACAAAAGTCAGTGCCATAAACACAAAAAAGCAACTAACCAACAGCAGACTAGCTCTTGATTTAAGAGCTTTGTGCATAAGGAAAACAAAAATATTTTTTTAAATAACATTCCTATTATTCTCCATTTTCCCAAGTTTGGGGGAACAAGACCCAGGCAGCTTTGAGCTATTTGCATCTTTAAGAGAGAGAAGATCTACAACAAAAGTGAAGACATTATGCAGGATTATCATTATCCTCCCAACTACAGAAACATGAGGTTGACTGGAAACATAAGGGGAAGGGAAAGGCTCTCTCTGGCAAGAAAACTGCTAAAAATGCAAAACTTGTCTATAGAAACCTGCTTCCACTGAGCAATATCATCACATTTGAGATAACATCAAATTAGTTTTATCACCACTGTGTTCAGTCTCACAGCCATCCCTGCTATCCAGGAGTCTCAAGGAGGACATACAGCCAAAAACCAGCCAAGAACTGTAACTGGGATTCCCCTTTTTGAAGGGAACAGTCCCACCCTCACTGCATGGAGAAAAATGGCAGCCAATGAAGAGATTGATGGTGGAGCATTTTATCACACCCTCACCAGTCCAACATAAGGACTGGAGTCTTTATCCTAATTACAGCTAATACAGGGGATCTCAGAGATGGAGATAGACCTATATATGTTATACATATAGATTTATTCACAGCCCTTCAGATGACATGCCCTGCACAGCATGCAATAAGGGAAGCAGGAAAAACAGGCCAGTGAAAGCAGCAATGGCACTGCATCACTTTGCCATCACAAGCATTTTATCTCCTACTTCACTCCAGCTTGAAAAACAAGACATTCATTTTGACTTGTAATGCCCATAATTCAGCTGAGAAACTGTATTACCACAGGGTATTCACAGGGCAGGATTCTCAGTAAACTCCCATGGAAATATCTTAATCCTATAAAGTCTGTTCAAAATTTTCTGCTGTGTAATTGTACACAAATATTTAAGTCACAAATTCCCCTCCTCAGAGTCTTAGGAGGTAAGACAGATTTTTAAAAGAAATATGGCAGAAAAGAACTATATCGGAGTGATGCCTTTCCCTTGGTCCTAAAAATTCAGAGCCAGACACAGTTAAGGGATAAAGGATTTTTACATTGGTATTCAATAAGGATCCTTATGGTGCACCACTTCACCAAGGTGGAACATACAAAATGCACACAATACATGATAGATCCCATATACAATTTCTAGACCTTACAAATCAGCATATCTAACACAGACTCCCCAATGAGAGGCTTGAATGAATAGTGTGATATCCTCCCACCCCAAGGAATTCCCCCCTGGCTGGGCCAAATCTCCAATTTACAGGATGGATTCCAGAGAGGACCTTGGCTTCCCAAGATAGTGCAGGGTTTTCCAGCCTCCTACTACAAGGCCTTTAGGATGTTTGGTCTCCTGGCTTAACAGAACACTATGACTATGATAAATTATCAGACTTTAGGAATTACAAGTATGCATGCTAAGTGTACTGAGGATACATAAAACTGATATGATATATAAAAGAAAAGGCAAAAAATCATCTGGCATCAGGAGAAGGAAGCTTACCATAGTAAGCAATACTCAAGCAGCAAAGAAAGCTCTGTAAGTGCTTATAATTAATTCTATATGCACAGCAGATGACACTATTTCTTCTTATAAGCTTTTTAGATACTTGAATAAATTTATTAGATCAAAAAAACCAAAAAATAATTTTACTGAAATGTTAACAATGCTACTGTGTACATTATATATACATCACTAAGTAGCCAGCTAGGTAAAAAGTAAAATATTTTAAGTATATACCAATAACTTTAGTTGAGTAGTTATTAGTTATCAGTAACAGGAGTCATTCATAGCTTTGAGTTATCCAAGACAAGATTTAAAAAGAAATACCGAAATTCTTGTTCCTCTTCATTGTCACTCTGCAGAAGATCATCATTCAGCTCCTCATCTGACAAGTCTGACTGATTCTAGGTTTCAAAAAAAGCCAATCATGAACACAAAAGATACAAACTTAACTAAGTACTGAAGGCTAAATATTTTTCATGAAGAATACATCCCAAACTGAGACCATATCTTCAAAGAAATTACATAATTCAATGAGAAAAAACACACAACACAAGATCACAAATCTTAAAATACATTTTTGACAATCCTAAGGAAATTTACAGAACTCAAATTTGCCTGTCTATCAACACTATTTTTTTACTGATGTATTCTCAAATATGGCCAAAGATGACACCTCAATTAAGACAGACCAGGAAGGAAGAAAGGTCAGCTCTTGTACACAGCCTTGTGACCTTGATGCATTAGACAAGTACAGAAAACACATGAATTGCAATTTCTAGAGAGAAGAGACAGGAGACTGGAGCAAAGGATATCATAAAGAAAACTGAAAAATCATTAATACTTTGTAAGAGAAGAAAAAAACTCCCAATTTGTCTCTCAAATTAAACAAATTTCAATTGTTGCCTTTTTTTTTTTTTTAAATTACCCCTTAGGGAGAGATAACTGCAGTTCTGCTGAGCAACATTTCCAGCCTCTAAAGTAATAGGGCCAGAAAGGTTACACAGATAGATTTATCTAAAAGTACTGGGATGAGATTAAACAGAAGGAAGTTTAGCCTAAATAACTCAGGGAAAACTTTCTAAGAAATCTAAGAAATTATTACCCCATTACATGGGTCCATACTCACAGGTATTGCCCTGTAACATGGAAAATTAAAAAGATGAATAGAAAAAGCACAAAAATAACCATAATACACTGGAGAATCAAGTACTGGTTAGTATTCACATATATAATTTTTAAATATAAGTAAGTAGCTTTTTCACCTCCATTCAATGTTAACTGCTTCTGGTTTTCGTAACTGTGTAACAAACATCTGCAATCATTATCCTCCTGGAATTTTATTCTCTTTAAACCAGCACATGAGAATAAGGAACTTCCTATCTTTAATAGGAAATGGTTACAGAAGCTCTAATAATTTCAAGAGGCTAACTTCCAACACTTAGAAGACGGTTATAAAAAACTACAACAAATAAAACTCAACTCTTAATAGAGCTAGGTTTCTTAACAACCTATTGATTTCCAATTAAAACTTCAAAAACTACTTTCAAAATCAGTTCATTTACAAAATAAAATATAGAAAGAGGTCAATTTGATTTCTTAAACTTAAGTCCCATCTTCTCCTATGGATGTCTGGCAAATCCAAAGATACATTTAGCTCTTTTCCCAGAGTTCAATCCTGGAAATAAGTACCAGCAGGAAGGGTCTATAGAAGACATGGGGAAAACTTGTTTATGTTCCCCAGTTTTAGCTGCTGCCATATTTTTCCCCTCACTTTAAAAGGGGAAATCCTCTGTTTACTCATCAGGCAATGAGCTGGCAGATCAAGCACACTGACTGTGAACTTTCAGAGACAGCAATGACTGATTTTTTTATTTACTCTCTGGTAAATACTACTGGTATTCTGACAAGTGATTTTTAATAGCCAGGAAACTGGCACTTTGCTTAAATTTTCCATCATGCTAATTAGCATTCAGGAGACCTAACTGGGTTGAAAACAAATTTTTCTCTAAGTTTTATTTTAAAATAAGTCCCACTTGGAGGTATTCCACAGAAGGAAACAGCCCTGGGTGCAGAATGCTCTGGCAGTAAGGCAGACCTCAGGTACCTGTGGCTGTGCTCTGGGGAGGTGACTGTAAAACACACAAGGTCAAACCAAACACCTGAACTGTCTAAGCTGAACAACATTCACATTTTAATATCTGCAATTTTAATACATAACTCTTACCTTTTTTCCAGTTAGCAAATCCTCTCCAAGCAAGTCATCATCAAGTTCACTGTAAAACAGTAACAAATTTAAGAAGCTGGACTTTACAAAGCAAAACCAAAAACCTTACAGGGCACATGCCTTAAAAATCTGCCTCAAGGAGAATTGTTGCCAAGCCAGCACAAAGCCTATTTTAGCAAAGCATTCAGGAAATAAAATGTTTTTACTTTTCAGTGAAACAACAAATCATACCTATTAAATAAATCTGTATTGCACAGGCATTTCATTTCTGTGTGCTCTCCTTTCCATACTCCCTCAATTAAACACAACACAGGAACAGGCACAGCCAGGCAAACCACAGCCATTCCAGATCCTTCACTCCAAGGCCATTTGGACACACTGTCCAAACTCCAAATTGATGATTTCCAGCTCCTCAGGAGGCCATGGGACAGGAATGTCCTGTGGGCAAGGCTCAGTCCACAGGTCCCCGTGCGGTCTGAGCTGCACCCAGCAAGGAGCTGGGAGCCTGCCTGGCTTGGGAGCCTGGACCTGTCCTGAAAGCCAGCCTTAGGCCTTGATCGTGCATAAATACTTTATTTCCTCCTCCCCAAGTTGAGGGTAAGGGCAAACATAACATTTGTAGGGTGACAAAATCAAATGCATGTTTCATCAGTTCTGTATTTGTGCCCCAGAACTCAGGAAGCACAGAAATATTGGCTTACAACACTTCTGCCATCACAGTGCAACTGCCCCATAAATACAATTCAGAGCAAGGAACTACATCCAAGGTGAGCTAAACTCCACAAAAACTGCTTAGTTTCATTCCTCCTTCAGTGAAAGAACTATTTAGTGACAGGGATGACCGATCCCCTTCAATAATAAACACTTGTTACTGACAAAAACATGTATTAGAACATGCATATCAATACTGAAATGAGATGCCAGTGATTTGAAATATGAGCTGCACTTTCAGAGACTATTTCTACCTGCACACCTTAAAAAAAAAAAACAAAGAGAAACAAAACCCACAACCCCTTAGGTAGTACATAAAACACAAATCATCCCAAGTGAGAACACCCTATATGAACTGCAAAGGAATTTATGTAAGGGTTCATTAGGACTACATGGCAAATGCTTGAAAATGGGGACACAATCCCAAAACATGAATCAGTTGGTTTTCAGATGGATCAATCTCTTTCAGAGCCAATTACTGCACAGGCAACATAGGAGGGAAGGGGTAGGGAGGGTTGTAAAACTCTTGTGGGCTAGGAAAGAACAAATGATACACCAAATAAGCCCTAAATAGGACATTAACATCAGTATACAGAATTTATCCACTGTTACTGATCACAAACAGGTCCAGGAATGACTGAACATTAACAAATAGCAATTGTTTTCTTCTCAATGTAATATTAAACAAAAATTAGGAGATAAGACATATCACACATTCCAAAGAGCAATCTGACTAGAATTTCAGCCTTTTCTTTCAGAGACAGGAGATTCTACGGAACAGAAACGGCTGCAGAAGAATTTCCTACTTCAATTTTGTCTCTAAAAAAAAAATCACTAATCTTTTCAACTGTCAGTTATCTGACAAATGCACCAAAATGTTTGAAAATATTTCCCAGCACTATGGCCAACCATTGACAGCTTTTAATAAAACTGCACTAGAGAAATTCCAAGAGATGGCAAGAGCATATGTTGCAGCAGCATTCAAAGATAAAAACCAAGTTTGGGTAGCAAGAAATTCAGATTAAGGAAAGGAATGCAAAAGAAACTGAAAGATTAATTTAATTATCTAAACATACCTAGGCCTATTTACCCCATTACTAAAAAGCATCCTTCATGTGATTATTTAGAAAAAAATTAACATTTGATCTCTAGAATTAACTGCAAACATATTCCAGATTTTCAGAAACTCTGACCTATTGCTTTACAGTCAGAAAAATTAACACTAGGATATAAATGAAGTTTGTATCAGAAGCAAAAAGTAGTTCACAGGGTGTACTTCAAAACCCATTAAAATATTCAACATCATTCAGTGTTTTCATTGATAAATTAGAAAAATAAAAATGACCACGAGTAACTTTTTGAGTAAACAAAGTAACAGTGAAAAACCTGCACAGGAAACTGGAACTATCTCAAACTCCTTTATAAGCAGCCAAATTTGAAGCTGTCTATAGAAAAAGGAAGGACCACAAGGACTAAATCTGACCATTAAAGAACAAAGCAAACAAACAAAAGAACCACCAAGAAAACGAACAGAAAACCCCCAGACACTAACAGATCTTCGGCTAGCTGAGAGAAATAGACAAAAATGAATGGTTGCAATTTGATATCACACAAATTCACATAAAATACACTGGAATAAAAGTACACACCTATTCTAGTTCCAAAAGCATCTCACCCTTGCTACCATCAAGACACAAAAGTCTTTCCAAAACCACAATACCAGGAAATACTGGGTTAAGACAATTTTGGGTTTGCTGCTCTCACAAGAAGGAGACAGATTTTCCTTCCCTTCTTCAACTCTCAATACCCAACATTTTCCTTACTGAATAAATTTAGCCTACTCAAATAAGAAAAAAATTAAAAAAAAAGCAGACTAAAAGTGGAAAATTTTCAGCCAGCATAGAGAAATCAGTAATCTCAAAGAAGGTTCTGAACAAGTGAATTTCAGCAAAAATCAGCTACTAAATCTGCCCTGTCATCTTGAAGGACAGCAGCAGAAATGCAGGTTTTTCCCAAACTCAAGCTCTGGGCTACTTAATGAGATAAATGTACAAATTAACATGATAAAGACGTCAGACTGGCCCTTTCAAGTCTCCAATTTCATAAGCACGCCTCATTAAACAGGAGCAGTAGCAAGGATACAAATGTTTCAGGAAAAGAACTTGGACAAAATGGGGAAAATTCTCCAAGAACAATGTTACATTTGTACTCCCAAATTACTGGGGTGTTCCAGCTCTCAGTTAATACCCTCCAAGGTTTGAGAAATGACAGAGATCTGAAAAATCAACATTTAATTATAAATAAAATAAATATACTACTAATAAATATATTACTTCTATGTTCCAAATGTTATTATTTTAATTATTTAAGTGACTGGAGGATAGGACTCAGTCAAGTAACAACACAGCAGGAGCTGATGGTTGATGAGGATGTGTGATTATCAGAACTCCATCTCCCCCTCCCAAATGATGCTTCAATTGAAAACAACGCATGAAAGATTAAAACCAAGATTACTGTGTTCATCCAGCCTTTTTTCCATCTTTGAGAAACCATGTCCTACACTGAATTAGGCCACTAGGTAAAACTCCTAAGCAATTACATTAGGCAACATATTCATGTACAGCATTTCTAATTGCCAAGGCAACCAGAGAACTCAACACTTACAAAGAGAGCTTTGCACTTTGAAGAGAATATTAACCAAAAAAATTCCAACATATACAAATAGTATTTTATTAGATACAGTTGTAAAATAAGATTTCTGAAATTATCAGCAAGATGAAACTCTAGAATCTTCTGCTCTGCAACTGAAACCACTTCCCCTCACAATTTCACTACTGAATTTTTGATAATCTCTTTTAAATTAAATACAGGTAATAATAAACACATAAATTAAAACTTTTTTCTAAAACTAAATCCTTCTACTTCAAAGTCTCAGCTCAGTGAAAATACAGTAAAACTACTGTCAAGCCCTATTAAAACCAGCTTTGCACAAGCAGTTTGCCACTGGGCAAAAGCTTCCAACTTCTGATGTAACAGCTGCTGCTTGACTCTTTCAGATCTTATCAAGTGATGAGTTGGGCAGCCAAACCTGAATGTGACCAGTCAGCGGCCAAGAGCCCACCCATTTATGCACCAAAGGCCAAAAGTTCAGAAAATATTCCAATACAAAACATTCTGCCTGCAAGTTTAAGGTTTCTGAACAGCCAATCCTGGGGACAGGAGGCAGCCCAGGAGAGTCCAGGCTGAGCAAGTTATTTTAACTCCACTCCCAAAGCAGAGCAGCTCCTTGGTGCACCTCAGCATCCAACCCTCAAACAGCTGCCCTGGGCTGACAGAGAGCAGGCACTGCTCACCAGCAAACAGCAGAACAGCCTGGATACACCAGAGCTACTGCACAGATTCCTCACTCACATACTCCCACTCAACCCAGCAGAACACCAAGGACGAGGAAACTAATGCCTCTGGAATGACAATAAATGTAGAACAGTTCATTTACTGCAAGGGTTCAGCTCAGTGGAAAACTACTTACAGTAGAATTTGTTTACTACAATCACTTGAGTGATTATTAGAGAAGACCAAAATCTACTTGGAATATTTTCTCCCTTTTAGAGTGAAAACCACTGGCAAAGTCTGAAAAAGTCTATTACTAAAAAGGAATCATAGAAAAATAACAGAAATAAGTGAAATATTTTCTCCTAGAAAGAGCAGATCTGTGTAGCTAGCAGCATGATTCCTGTTTCATAAAAGAACATTCTCCCCCAAAATAACCCAGAGCACACACACTTCTCTATCTTTAGAACAGTCATATTGTTGAAGATGCCCATTCCTAAGCTCTCCTCCTTTCCCCCAATTTAAAACTGAAGTAGAACTTTGAGAAAAGGAATTTAAAGATTGAAGTAAAAAAATTTAAACATTCATTTAAACATTAAAGTAAAAAATATTCTAAAAATTAAGTTGGGCAAATTCAAGTACTAGCAAATTCTATTTAAACCACCTAGCTCTATTAAATATTTATCAGCAAAACCAAAACATTAATTGCAAAATTACACACCACAAATACTTTGTATTTATCCAATTTTAAAAGGCATCTCTTCACAATGCTCTATATTCCTCAAGGCAAGTACATGTTTGGCACAATCTAGCATTGGCTGACACATGCAAAACAACATCTTCATTAGAATCTAAATGTGCACTGCTCTGAATGTTAGAGTACAAAATGCCAGAATGGGAAACAGAACAATGCAATTCATCTTACAGAACTGAACATGGAAATATTCCACCTACCTGTCCCAGTCATCATCTCCAGCTCTTCTTCTCCAAGACCTTTCAGCACCAGGCTTATCAAACTGATCAAAGTCATCATCTGTAAAAAAAATGTGACTACATTAAATAATCCTTACTGAAAATGAAGCACAGAATAGAGCTCTCCAACTAGTCAGACAGTAGTGTGTTCACTGACAGCACTGGGCACACTGTAGGAGTAACTTCCCAAAGATGTGCAAAATTCAGAGAGCTCTGGCTCTCCATTTATTCACAAAAGTCTTACAAATTCATGTAATTACCCAATACACCTACACAAATGCATTACCTAACCCCACCTACTCCTGCTTCCTATATGAGTCCAAAGTTCTTTTTACACCTGCACAGTCTCTTGGTTGAATTAAGTCAGTGGGCTTCCAAATGGGTCTGTGGTCTTCTGAGAGCACAGTGACCTTTTACTCCTGCCTTGCTGGCAGGCTTTGGACCCCCTGGCTGTAGCTCAAGTTTCAGGGCCCAGCTGCAGGTCACAGTTTCTTCATTTTCACAATAGCTCCAAATATTTATCCTGCTTCTTCAAACACAGTAACACAAGTAAGTGATTTATATCTTAGCCCTAACTGCTCTATCTGCTAATAATTAACTATTCCACATTAATTCTACTCTTCTTGGTATACTCTTAATCATTATAAATTGTTTTTATCCTCCTAACTTAATCTAACTAAACTCTTAACTCTTTCAGTTTCTTTAAACCTTTGATTCCAAATGAAAGGTTGCCAAAGCAACCACACAGATGGCATTTTCTGGGTGGGTGTGGGGTGTGCATGTTGTTTAGAAGATGCAAAAACACCTTTTTCTACTTTCCAATTAGCATATAGAAAACAGACAAATACCAGCATAGAATTACGGAATCATTAAGGTTGGAAAAGACCTGTAAGATTGCCAAGTTCAACCACCAAATTCACCATTAAACCATGTCCTCAAATGCCATATCCACATGTTTTTGAACCCTTCCAGGGATGATGACTTCACTTCCCTGGGAAGCCTGTTCCAAAGCTTTGCAATCCTTCCAAACATGCAATCTAAACCTTCTTTGGCACAACTTGAGGCCTTTTCCTCTCATCCTGTCCCTTGCTACCTGGGGTAAGAGACAGACCCACCTGGCTACAGCCTCCTCTCAGATGGTCCTCTCAGAGAGATAAGGTCCCCCTGAGCCTCCTTTTCTCCAGGCTGACTCCCCAGTTCCCTCTCCTTGTCAGATTTGTGCTCCAGACCCTGCACCAACCTCCCTGCCCTTCTCTGGACACACTCCAGCACCTCAGTGTCTTTCCTGTAGTGAGAGGCCCAAAACTGAACACAGGATTTGAGGTGTGGCCTCAGCAGTATTGAGGAAAAAGGGATGATCACAGCCTTTGCCTTGCTGGCCACACAAACCAAGACGCCCTTCTTGGCCACCTGGGCACACTTCTGGCTCATGGTCAGCTACTATCAACTTACATCTCCATGCTTCAATAATAAAAAACAAAACCCAGAATGTATTACACAGCTTTGCCTCTTCTCACTGTTGCAACAAGGATCACCTGAGGGAAACAGAGCATGAGCTAAATCACTGGCAGTGAAGGTCATTCCAGAAACAGCAGCTCCCCAGAAGTGCATGGAACTGAGATGCAGTGGAGGTGAAGGTAACATCATCTGCCCAATCTCTGCTTGCCTTGGAGGCCACAAGCTCAACCACTAACACTGAGCCAGCAATGGCAATGTGAAAATGGGAGTAAACATTAGGACAGCACAGGGCAGGTCAGCAGCAGTAATGCAGCACAAGAGACAAGTCAGGTGGAAAAACCACCACTCATCTCAACTGGGGCAGCAAAACCACCAGAAGTCACTGAAGCAGGTTACACTCTGTACCTAAACACGAACTTGCCTTCCAAGAAACAACTGCTGCTCCACATTTCTCTCAATAAATACCCTAATTTTGCCCACCACTTCCTCTTGCACAGCTTAGTTTGCAAATGACAATTTTGCTACTGAAATATGTAAAAACTTCCATTTCTCTGCAGGAATATGCAAAGGTCATTTGCTCTGTTCAGACATCATGTCTTATCACCATGAAACTGGAAGCAGATACCCTCAACCTCCACTCTCCCCTTCTCTGACTGCAGCCCAACAGAGAATGCACAGCTGGATTCACTCTCTGTTCACACATTTTAACAACTTGGGTAAGAATCCAACAACTGGACAAAAGTTATGCTCAACATGGAGGGAAAGCTGCTGCAGCTGAATGGGCTGCAAAATACAGCAGGTGAAGCAATCCAGTCCTTGCAGTGTGACACTGAATTGGGATTGCTAAAATGCCATAAATCCACTTATCCTCCTGAGTCTATTTGTATTCAACTCTTTGACCAAGTACACTGAAAAGGAACAACTGTTTTATTGAACTGGGTTTTTTTGTTTGGTTGGTTTCTTTAATAAACCACCAAAGCCAAATCTGTCTTCAGATCTTTAAACTCAGCCCAGCATCCTTAAGTGAATATTTCCCATATGCAATGACAAACCTATGCACTCCTCACTTCATCTTATCAAAATATCAGTGTTAGTGAATGATGGAAGTTTACAAGAAGGTAAAAACATTAAAAAGAGAAAATCCAGATCTTGCAACATCACTATATTAAGAATATTCAAAGCAGAAATTTCAATCATAAATAGCTATGAAAGAAAGAGTGCTCAGTAAGAATTATGATGCAACATGAAGCAAGTGTAGCAAATCTCTTATTTTGAAACAGTAGCTAGAAATAATTCTCCTTGATCAGGTTCTCTCCTTTACTATCAACAGATATGTCTACATTTTAATTTATCTTTTATATTTTAACTGACTTGCACAATCTAAAGCCATTGAAAACAGTTGTTTAACATTTCTCTGCTCAAACATCTCCATATTGCAACCTCCTATTCCAATTCCTATTTCACTCACAGAGCAAAACCAAATACACAAGTATTTCCCATCTTCCTCCTGAACACTAAATTAACTAATTCTGTGGTCTCTGTGGGAAAAAAAAAAAGGTCACATTGCTCCCTTTATGGTCACTCAAAACCATGCTGCAGTGCCTTAGTGCACTGACATTTTAAGGGCACGAATATCCCACACTGACACTATTCTTACAGCTGGATTACAGTAATCCACTCACTTGATGTAACCACCATCAAAGGTTATTTTTTAAGGTAAAGCAACTGGTTTGGCAGCAACCCAAATAACAGTGTCCAAATATTGGACACTGTTATTGTTATTGGACACTGTTCTTGAGCCTAACACAGCTCAAGAAAATGACCACCATCAGGAAGACTGTAAATTCTTTTTAAACTATGCCTGCATGCAAGATATGTTCTTCCACACAGGCACCCTTTTAGCACTAGAGCTGCATTTTAAATCAAGAGCACTTGAAGATCTGAGCGCTCAGCACCAATCCTTCCAGAGATGGACCTTCACATCAGCCAGTTTAAATCTAGACAATACAAAACTACACACCAAACCCTTCTTCTCTCCACATAGAATCTCTCCACAGCACAGTGAAACACTTTTTGATAGAACTCATGGTTGACTTTTCCACCCAGACATCAAAGTTTCACAGCCATAAAAATGTTTCAACCTATCACTGCTGCCAGTGAAGAAATTACAGCAAAGGACATTCCAAGTTCTAGCAAGTTTCTGAACCTGGCAAGTGTGGGCCTGAACTCTCACCACTCAGCCAACATCATGAACCTCCATGCTCCAGCCCTTCCAACTCCTCCAAATTTTTCACATCTTATTTCTTATTCATGAGCAACTTCTACCAAAATTCAGAGCTGAATCACATCCAGCAAAGCTCCTTTCCCAAGTGCATTTTAGCAGGATGCACACAAAACCCTCAAAATGACTGGTCCATTTGCCTTAGTGACCACACCTTGCAAGAACTGCTGCACATGTCCCCTTCAGCTCCCTGCTCTCATCTCAACATACATGATATAAAGATCTTTGGGACAGAAGGAGACAGCTTTTCTTTTTTATGCTTATTTGTTCTGTGACAGCTGACACTGAGTGTTACAAATTATGCCATTGTGACATTAAGGACTGTCAGAGCCCAGAGCAGGCTGTAGCTTTCCTTTAGAAAAGAGGTCACAACAGTTACACACCTACAAACAGCATTCTGTGCCAGCTTTGTTTGTGAGACAGCAGCTCTGAAATGGACTCAGGCCTGCACCTGCAATGTGCTGTGATACCTAACACACCTCTTGAGGCATCATTTTCTCTCCATTTCTGAAATCACACAGACATTTATTTTTCTTTGACCTGTCTAGGCAATAACATTGTAAAATACCAGTAAATAACAATCAATGTAACATTTATAGCTCCTTCTTGAGAAACTTGTAAGTCAATGTTTGCGTCACGGGTGGTTAATGCCTGTAAAACATTAACTTGTACAGAAATAAACCCACTCAGCATCAGCAGAGTTCACAGTCACTGAGAGCAACAGACAAAGTTTAATTTTTTTTTAATAATTCTCAGTATTACTGTGTGGATGATAGTAGGGGAAAAATGGATGATGGAAATCCATGAAAATAAGTGTTTAAAGCATTCAAATGTCTGTGGCAGGGAAGAAGTTCTGTATCTCTTCCAGCACTCGTACACAGCAGCTGTTGCTACGACACGCCAGGCACTGGCCACAGCTTCTCCAGCAAAGCTCACCAAGATGATGTTTGTGCATCAGCTGGCTACCAACTGGAAAATGCTGATAGGTGATCTCTAAACACATTAAGCCCCCTCTGATTTCCAGGCAAAATTAGTAAGTAAAACAAAAAAACCCCACAGCAAACCAAGAGAGACCTATCAAACACCAAAAAAAGCATGAAGTGAATAAGGAAGCAGAACAGGCCAGTTATACAGGGAAACCCAAAGCAATCCTCCACTTGGCTCTTCCTAAAGTGGCAGGGAAGTTTCAGGATGCTGCAGAGAAGGACTAACACTGGCTGACTTGTCACACCAGCCTGCTGTGCAAGGCTCTGGCCAGCTGTGAAGCACAATAAACACAAACACACGTGGGCCCGGTGGCATTCACATTCTCCGGAAAATCC